CTGTTATCTTCAACTTTATGTACTACAATTAAATATGCAATGAAATCATAGGAACTAAAACTCCTTTATCAAGTTTCATTCTTTTATTTTAAATAACAAGCACATACTTCAAAAATATTTTTTCTTTATCGTTCAACAACGGAATTCGTTAAATTTACTCACTTCACATCTATATCCCTGAACACCAACACTCATATTTTTATGTTCCACACCACTTGGCCTTCATCCTAGCTAAACACAAAGATCAAAACTGTGCACATGTCAAGAACTGATTCTTTCATTCCAGTCTTTCTGTTTAGTTTTGGTCAGAGTTCGTCCTTCATCATCAGAAAATGAAACAATTTATTTGCAATTTCAGACCAATCTTTGTAAAATTCTAATTCAGTGTCTTGGTGGTAAAGATGTATTAAGTTATCTCGGAGAAATTTTATTTTTCCAGCATGATCTTTGAAATGCTGCAAACATGAGTCCTTTAATTTCAAGGCAGCTTTCAGAATAATTTCCACGGTGCTCTCAAACTCTCGCGGTGGAATGTTATCCAAGAGATCACACACGATTCCACAGAATCCATTTTGTACCAGGTGATCCTGCAGAGGAAACCTAAAGAGAAAATGAAACAAACTCAAATTTCTGTGAAAACATTTTTCTTGACGAGAAGACATACCGATTATAAAATAAACGATATTTATTGATACTTCGAAAGGCACCGGAAATAAAGTCCCCCCCCCCCCCCAAAAAAAAAATTGGCAAATATTAAATATCAATCAAATACGAATATGAGTTTCAAGATGCAACATTGAACTAACATGATGACTACGATTCTTATGCCTGTCCTTTTTTTTTTTTTTTACTTTCCGTTGTTCACATACATAGCGATACCATTTCAGTCATTCAGATACTAATGACCAGAAAACATTTATGACTTGTACATTTCTGCACGAGTGAAATTTAGGACCAAAACACTTCATCATAGTCTAGTGCGCCGTCTGTGCCAACGCCACCGCCATTTTTCAAAAAGTCGGATTTCAACCCGGTGTAAATAAAACGTTATAAAATTCATACCTGTTAAGAATAAACACCAAAATTTGAGGAAATATAGTTAATTAAACAGTTTTACGAATTTCCATTTCCATTAAAATACAGAGTAGTAATTACTTTTCCGTAGGATTTTGAATATAATAAACCGATTTTTAATACCAACTTTTGGGTATTGCGCCGCCTTCCTACACCAGACAATGAAATGTATCATTTAAAAAGGGTTTTTGTGTAGATATTCCATATTTGTTTACATGTATAAATTTGTTAGATAGTGTTGGTTTAATCTTTGTACGAAGTTTCATTAATATACGACATCGTATTCCTACAAAACAACGCTTGTCTACGGAATTCTGGGACAACCCTCGCATTTAAAGTCTAAAAGTAAAAAATTATTTTTAGGGCTTTAATAATTATTATATTATTGTAAAGATATCCAACTATTTTTCAAACTGTAAGTTGGTGATCTTTCATATCAAATTGCTTAGCAAAGGACACATCTCTTCCCCAGCTTGGTTTCATTGAGCGACAGAACAAACATTTTTTTAACATCTCCTCCTTCCTTCACTTAAACAATCAAACCAAATTAATGACTAAACTTCTGGCAAGTTTTTTGTCTAAAATAAACCGTGTACAAATTATTATAAACTTCTGCAAAGGAATTTCCAAAATATAGTTTAACTTTACAGCCGTTCGTTTCTCGAATACGACTGAGTCAACCATTTTTTGTCACAAGTAACCTCATATTGACGTCATTTTCACATTGTGACGTCACAATCATGATGCAAAACGTTTCAATACATATGCTATTTATAGAACATGCGTATGACTTTATGTGTGCCAAATTTCATTCTGATCTGAATTGTGGTTTTGTAAATATAGAGGTAGTTCGCGAACTTTTTGATCACCCCTTGTACGTCCACAAAAATAGTATTATCAGATCACTTTTCACGCTTTCTTCTATACACTTTTCACTATCTCTGATAACTTACTCATCATACTGTCTTAACATCTCCTTGGATGAATGCTCTCTGTTGTCCTTGGTTACTGACTCGTGCTCTTCCATCAGATCTACAACCAGAGACAGCGCCCTCTCGGTAAGTTTCATCACATCTTCCGCCGGCCCTTGCTCTGAAAATAACTTCGCCAGGACACTGAACCCGCCGAGATTGCCGAACTTCGTTTGAGCGTACGGAAAGTTTCGAACCATTGCCGACAGTGCAAATAAAAGCTTCCTCTTAACGGAGACTTCCGCTTCCGTTGAAAGTGCACGCACAAAATGTTGGAGAAGACCAGCCTCAATACAGTATATTTTCACTTTAGGGTTACTAAAAGCGAAATGAAAGATTATAAGTATTTCAATACTAGTATTTAAATGGAAATTTTTTGTAGATGTACAAGCTGATGGCAGAAGACACGTTTTAATCTTACTTCTGAAGAGATGATGCCAAGAGTGACGCCGAGATGGACCTGACGTTCTCATCAGAGTCATTGAGGCTCTTTATAACCATTTTCATACCACCAATGTCACAAAATAGGATAGCATTATCAATCTAAAAATGAAATTCAAATAAAAATTAAAATAAGATAATTTAAATATTTAGCTACCGACCTATCAACATCAAGTATCTATGTTACAGTTCGAAATTGTGTATACAGTTAAACCTGTCTTATCCGATAAAATCAATTTCGGATTGGACAGTGTGTCTGTATTGCCAAGATTTCTAGTATCTTGCTGTCAAGCATCTTTGCAAGCCAAGGATTTCTGATACGCTACTCTCCTCATGAGAAGAGTAGCATTTTAGAAACCCATGGCTAGCGAAGATTGCTGTCAAGTTTTTAATTCTCTTTGTCCTGTTTACTAATACCTAAAAATACTGAAGTATGTTATTTTATATTGCACACTGCAACCTTCTTATTGCTATACCTATTCTCTTTGCCGTTCTTTGCAAAGTGTTGACATCAATCAAAAATTTTGTTACAAAAGGTAATGATATCTTGGCCGAACTCATCTTTGCTAGCTAAGGCTCTCTAATCTGTTTCTCTCCTGTCAAACTTTTGTAAGGAGCTACGGAAAGAACTCTCGCTTTTCGGTCGGGTCTGATTCTCGATTCCGGAGCTTTGTCAAACTAAGGGCTGTGTACATGTATCATAAGGGAAAAAGTATCGTGATGCATCACAAAAACTTTATTTTATAATCGAAATACATATATATGTATATCAAGATAAATGACGCTTTAAAATTTACACTTTTTTCCATAAATAATTATGAATTTTATATTCTCTGGCAAGAAGAATGTACATGTCTAGATTTATATTTGTGCATTCATTTAAATATACCTTATTGTAAGTCATTGCTATTTTAAGAATTTTATGAAAAATTTGATTCCCAATTTCATGTTTCGATGCATCGTATCCAATAGTGATTCCATCGCCAAAGGACCAGCATTAATATAAATCTTGGTAAAATTAGCGTGTGGAAATTTAATGGATGTTCTCTATGGTTTGGATATTCCTTAGATAAATAAAGTGCCGCGCCACAGCATGATACGCCCGTCAAAAACTTAAAATTTTCTTGAACAGTTTAGGTGCAAGAAAATCACGTCAACCTTGGTTCTAATATTTCGATGATTTTTCCATTCCTTAAAATATTTATGCATCCCCTGTGATGTAGGCATAAATTATAATAAATATTACATCACTGATAGATTTCTGTGCCGGTTGTGTTAGACCTTGTCAAATGCCCATCATATTAAACAATATCAAATTAGTCTTAACAACTTAATCTATACCAAATTAATTTTGAAAAGAAAAGACTGGCCATCAAATGACATGTTATAAACTGACCAGCAGTTCTTCTGTCTAATCCCCTAAGGGTACAGATAAGACTGCTTGATCAGATAGCCTTCCTACATTGAACTCATTAATTAATCTTAACTGGATGCTTGTCTACTCATTACTACCAAGAGATGAATGGGTCTGCATTATCTACCATAATTGAAAACATAAAATACTCAAATATTTTTTTTGGTTGAGATTTAATGTCCGACAGGTTTTAATATATAATTTATATGGACATGATGATTCCACCCCACCCCATAAAATTAGTTTTTAAATTAATAATATTACATAATATCAGATTAGTCTATTATGCAAAATCAAATTAGTTTTAATTACTTTTCATCAAATTCATTTTAAAACTTAAGCTAGCCAACAAGAGCTATTTTTAATCAAACAGGCTTACCCATTTGCCCAATACTCAAGGGATACAGATAACACCAATGCCCTGTCAGCTAGCTCCTCACACTCAAAACCCATTAATTTCTCTCTAATTTGACATCAAAATTCTTCTTGACCAGTGCTTGATAATTACACTCATGGGAGAGGTAGAATTTCTCTAACATACATTATATTTGTTATAGATTGCTGTCAAGTATATGTTTAAAAAATAAGTATTTTCTTGATTTAACACTTTTTTAATAGGGACAGTGCAATACTCTTACATTATTTGGGATGTGTAAATAAATAGTAAAAAGACACATTTTTTTCTTTAAATTTCACTTAAATTAAAGGTCACAGTGACCTTGAAATAGGTCGCGACACACCTTTTTAATCTAAGATGCATAATCTGGCCAAGTTTGATGATTGCAAGTCTTATAGTTTTCTAGTTATGGGCCGGAAAGGATTTTCCATATTTGGCTATAACTTCTTAATTAAAGGTTAGAGCGACCTACTTTTTGTGCGCGACACACCTTCTACCCAAGATGCATCAGATGACAAAGTTTGATAATCCTAGGCCTAGTAGAATTAAAGTTATGAGCCGGAAACGAAAAAGCTAACAGACAGACGGACGGACACGAAGCCTATAACATAATACGTCCCGTCTTAAGACGGGCGTATAAAAAAAGTATAAACACTATTTCAGCATTTTTAGCATACCGGTATAAAATCGATGAAATGATTAAGATTTTAACAAACTTTCAAGGATTTAATTTGTGATGTTATTATAGGCCCTCCGTATGAACTTATCGGGGTGTAAACACAGACCAGGAAGAAAAAAAAGGTGGGGAGAGACACTGATAAAAGACAGAAACCCCGGAGGATTACGTACCGATTATCAGGTAAGACAATTATATATGTACGTATTATTTTTATCATTTTAGAAATATAATCTTCTTTTGGTTCCTGTTCCTACATGTATGGGTGAGCGGTAAATGAAGCAGATAAAAGAAAGACGCAATTTAATTTTTTTTTTACAAGTTTGATACACGACACACCTTGTACCAATATACTCATATATGATATAAATATCCATATCTACTTGTAACATTCTGAAATTCTTCAGATTATATACACTGAAAATAAAGCTCGAAAAGTTTTCGCAGAAATGTTCATAATATTCAAAATATACATATTTCAGTAAATAAGTGTAAGCAGATAAGAACTGGAAGGACTTGTGGATTAATCGTTAACCCGTTGAATCGATATGCACATATACCTAATTCATTGTAGACATATTAGACCTGTTACGCAACAACAGGCATAACGTATTTTTTACGGAGACACATTAGCTGAATCAAATTCTTCATTTCATTATTAACTTTGCAAAGCAAATGTATAACAAATAAGGCCTATAAAATGCTTAAAAATTAAAAGTTTCTTATCAAACAAAGAAGTAAAATTCCACAAAAGTAACCTATAAGTGCGCATGACAGGTCATTTAAAATACATGCATTGGTAATGCACGTCTGGATTTTTGGCTACGTTTTATATTTGTTGCATTCATGTTGAAAAATAATGATTAAAGTATCACAACAAAGAAAAACCTTAAAGCAATATGAGCTGCATGTTTGACATCGAAAAATTTTGTTGCAAATTTGTAATTAACTATTTCAATGAAAGAAAAATAGAACATTTATAAATTTTTGTTCATTTATGCACTGGAAGAAATTTTTATAAGCTATGATTGAAGCAAAATTGCATTATTGTCGTCCTGTACAATAATACTGTTTATTCGATTGCACAGAAATATTTCTTCTGAAATGTTTTTAAAAATTATTTTGGTCTTATTCATCAAAAGGGCTTAAATTTAATGCAAATTAATCATAATAACACATTTTACCAGAAAAATAAAATTCTCAAAAATGCAGCTCATATTGCTTTAAATATCACGTGAGTATATGATACAAGAGTGTTATGGATTCATATAAGTATTGAATGGAACAAAATAAACTGATGGATAATATGTTGCACAAATACAAGAGAGAAAAAAATCATTAGAAATTTTAGAAATTGGTCTTGTACTCTGTAACCATAACTACAGTAGATCTTGTAACTTGTTCTCTGTAACAATAACTACAGTAGATCTTGTAACTTGTTCTCTGTAACAATAACTACAGTAGATCTTGTAACTTGTACTCTGTAACAATAACTAGAGTAGATCTTGTAACTTGTAATCTGTAACAATAACTAGAGTAGATCTTGTAACTTGTACTCTGTAGCAATGACTAGAGTAGATCTTGTAACTTGTACTCTGTAACAATAACTAAAGTAGATCTTGTAACTTGTACTCTGTAGCAATGACTAGAGTAGATCTTGTAACTTGTACTCTGTAACAATAACTAGAGTAGATCTTGTAACTTGTACTCTGTAGCAATGACTAGAGTAAATCTTGTAACTTGTACTCTGTAGCAATGACTAAAGTAGATCTTGTAACATGTACTCTGTAACAATAACTAGAGTAGATCTTGTAACTTGTACTCTGTAACAATAACTAGAGTAGATCTTGTAACTTGTAATCTGTAACAGTAACTAGAATAGATCTTGTAACCTGTACTCTGTAGCAATGACTAGAGTAGATCTTGTAACTTGTACTCTGTAGCAATGACTAGAGTAGATCTTGTAACTTGTACTCTGTAGCAATGACTAGAATAGATCTTGTAACTTGTACTCTGTAGCAATGACTAGAGTAGATCTTGTAACTTATACTCTGTAGCAATGACTAGAGTAGATCTTGTAACTTGTACTCTGTAACAATAACTAGAGTAGATCTTGTAACTTGTACTCTGTAACAATAACTAGAGTAGATCTTGTAACTTGTACTCTGTAACAGTAACTAGAATAGATCTTGTAACTTGTACTCTGTAGCAATGACTAGAGTAGATCTTGTAACTTGTACTCTGTAGCAATGACTAGAATAGATCTTGTAACTTGTACTCTGTAGCAATGACTAGAGTAGATCTTGTAACTTGTACTCTGTAGCAATGACTAGAGTAGATCTTGTAACTTGTACTCTGTAACAATAACTAGAGTAGATCTTGTAACTTGTACTCTGTAACAATAACTAGAGTAGATCTTGTAACTTGTAATCTGTAACAGTAACTAGAATAGATCTTGTAACTTGTACTCTGTAGCAATGACTAGAGTAGATCTTGTAACTTGTACTCTGTAGCAATGACTAGAGTAGATCTTGTAACTTGTACTCTGTAGCAATGACTAGAGTAGATCTTGTAACTTGTACTCTGTAGCAATGACTAGAGTAGATCTTGTAACTTGTATTCTGTAGCAATGACTAGAGTAGATCTTGTAACTTGTAATCTGTAACAATAACTAGAGTAGATCTTGTAACTTGTTCTCTGTAACAATAACTAGAGAAGATCTTGTAGATTTTACTCTGTAACAATAACTAGAGTGAATCTTGTAAGTTTTACTCTAGAACAATAACTAGCATAGATCGTGTAACTTGTACTCTGTAACAATAACTAGAGTAGATCTTGTAACTTGTACTCTGTAACAATAACTAGAGTAGATCTTGTAACTTGTAATCTGTAACAGTAACTAGAATAGATCTTGTAACTTGTACTCTGTAGCAATGACTAGAGTAGATCTTGTAACTTGTACTCTGTAGCAATGACTAGAGTAGATCTTGTAACTTGTACTCTGTAGCAATGACTAGAATAGATCTTGTAACTTGTACTCTGTAGCAATGACTAGAGTAGATCTTGTAACTTGTACACTGTAGCAATGACTAGAGTAGATCTTGTAACTTGTACTCTGTAACAATAACTAGAGTAGATCTTGTAACTTGTAATCTGTAACAATAACTAGAATAGATCTTGTAACTTGTACTCTGTAGCAATGACTAGAGTAGATCTTGTAACTTGTACTCTGTAGCAATGACTAGAGTAGATCTTGTAACTTGTACTCTGTAGCAATGACTAGAATAGATCTTGTAACTTGTACTCTGTAGCAATGACTAGAGTAGATCTTGTAACTTGTACTCTGTAGCAATGACTAGAGTAGATCTTGTAACTTGTATTCTGTAGCAATGACTAGAGTAGATCTTGTAACTTGTAATCTGTAACAATAACTAGAGTAGATCTTGTAACTTGTTCTCTGTAACAATAACTAGAGAAGATCTTGTAGATTTTACTCTGTAACAATAACTAGAGTGGATCTTGTAAGTTTTACTCTAGAACAATAACTAGCATAGATCGTGTAGCTTGTACTCTGTAACAATAACTAGAGTAGATCTTTAACATGTATTCTGTAACAATAACTAGAGTAGATCTCGTAACATGTATTCAGTAACAAAAACTAGAGTAGATCTTGTAACTTGTTCTCTGTAACAATAACTAGAGTAGATCTTGTAACTTGTACTTTGTAACCATGATTAGAGTAGATTTTGTAACTTGTAATCTGTGACAATAACTAGAGTAGATTTTGTAACTTGTAATCTGTGACAATAACTAGAGTAGATCTAGTAACTTGTACTCTGTAACAATAATGAGAGTAGATCTTGTAACTTGTACTCTGTAACAATAACTAGAGTAGATCTTGTAACTTGTACTTTGTAACCATAACTAGAGTAGATCTTGTAACTTGTACTGTGTAACAATAACTAGAGGTAGATCTTGTAACTTGTACTCATTAATCATCACTAGAGTAGATCTTGTAACTTGTACTCTATAACCATAACTAGAGTAGATCTTGTAACTTGTAATCTGTAACAATAACTAGAGTAGTAGATCTTGTAACTTGTACTCTGTAACAATAACTAGAGTAGATCTTGTAACTTGTACTCATTAATCATAACTAGAGTAGATCTTGTTACTTATATTCTGTAACAATAACCAGAGTAGATCTTGTAACTTGTACTCTGTAACAATAACTAGAGTAGATCTTGTAACTTGTACTCTGTAACAATAACTAGAGTAGATCTCGTAACATGTAGTCTGTAACAAAAACTAGAGTAGATCTTGTAACTTGTACTCTGTAACAATAACTAGAGTAGATCTTGTAACTTGTACTCTGTAACAATAACTAGAGTAGATCTCGTAACATGTAGTCTGTAACAAAAACTAGAGTAGATCTTGTAACTTGTACTCTGTAGCAATGACTAGAGTAGATCTTGTAACTTGTACTCTGTAACAATCACTAAAGTAGATCTTGTAACTTGTACTCTGTAACAATAATGAGAGTAGATCTTGTAACTTGTACTCTGTAACAATAACTACAGTAGATCTTGTAACTTGTACTCTGTAACAATAACTAGGAGTACTTTTGTTACTGGCCTATATTCCTATATTTGCCCTCATTTGTTCCTATCATCAGTATGACTATCAAACACAAATGGCCTTCAGCACAATTTTAGAATTTGACCTAAACTTTGTCACACAGGACTCTCTTGTTCTTTGAAGATCATTTTATGTACAGAGATAAGGTATTTTGGTTCATTTTAATCATAAGATTTGATAATTTATTTTCCCCAGCCCAAAAACTATAAAAGTTATTTTTGTATCATGACATATGATAAAAAAATATCTTATTCAAATTACCTTTCAATTATATTATTTAGAATAATTGATTATCATACTCATAGATGAATAGCAAAAGGTTATAACTTCTCAGTAGAATATGAATAGATCAAGTTTCCTAGCTCCAGAACACTCAACCCGCTGTTCAAGAATTTCAAAATAGACTTCCAAAGAAAACACAGTGAAAATTGTCTAATCTGGATCCTGTGTATTCTGAAATCTTGCCTTATATGATGTAAAGCTTAAGTCCCTATTAGTAAACTTATAGGTTTCATATGTTGTCTAATATTGAATGTTGTCTAATGGATATCATTGCTGTTTGAACCGATGGTTTCTGGATTAGTCAAGTTTTACTTCATATTGAAAATTTATTTGATTTTAAGAACAAATACAGATATATTTGTTTGTATGTAGGTACATCACCTGATGCATGTAGTCCAGTAAGTTCTCCATGACATCAATCCTCTCCGTGTTGTCAATAGAAGTAGAGTTCAGCATTCCGGTCAGTTCTAGGATCGTCTCACGGTCAGTTTTAATGTTCATCTCTAAACTCTCTAGGTCCTTCTTAAGCTCCTCATAACTCTTGTATTTCTGTTTTACTACCTCCATCCGCTAGAAATTTTAAAATGAAAAGCCTTTTTACGTAATTTAATTAATGCATTTTAATTGGTCTGCATAAAAGTACATGTATTTGTATAGAAGAGGCTGGGGAAAAAATTGAACTGTAGAACATACACAAACAGAGAAGAGATTCTAAAAATAATTTAACACTCAACAAACCTAATATAATTAGCAGACAAGTGATCTTTACCATTAAATGGCAAATCACAGTGCATTCTTGTAGGAATATTATAATATTTAACTGCAATTTGTCCAGAGAATATGTATGTCCCAGCAGTTACTTGGAGGGTTTTCCAAATCATACAAGGGGAATTTCCCTTTCTATAATGTTGTAATCCTCATTTTTTTTCTGGTATATACCCTGATATTACATGAGTCCATCTATGAAACTTCATTCAATCTATGGCATTTTTAATAAAACATTCAAGGCAAGAAGTTTAATTTTTTTATTGGTTGATACACAGGTATTTAATTAGAGCTTAACGAAAACACTTGAGAAAATGAAACATTTAAGGCAAAACATTTTCATAGAATTTTTTGGTGTGTTTATTACCACTTTACTACAAGTGCAACCAATATAAATTGCCCAGCTTTCTTGCAGATTATGTAACAGTTTTCAAACCATATATCTGTAATAATAATTCTTAAAAACCTGATTTAACTCTTCATCTTTCACATTTTAGGACTTAGCACTGAACATGGAAAAAGAAGCCCAGCAGTGTGTTATAAAATGTGACCTGTGTAGCTCTATGGAAAATGTAGAGAGCTTTTGTAAGAACTGCAAAGAGACCTTATGTGACCACTGCTGTGAGATCCATTCAAAGAGTGTAGCCTCAAGAGATCACGAGATCATATCACGTGTACAAGCTTCAGCTTATGGCATTGTGGACGACATGAAATGTCCTTCCCACAGTGGTAAGCACTGCGAAATGTACTGCATCACATGTGATTCGGTAGTCTGCACAAGATGTGTTACCGATAACCATCGTGGACATGAGTTTGATGAACTCAAAGAACTTTTCAGAAGAAAACCAAAAGAATTTGAAAACTTAGTCAAGATTTTTAATCAGAAAATTACACCAAAATATCTTAAAGAATGTGAACTTCTAGAAGGAAGGCTGGCACAAATTGACAAAAATCAAGCTTCCATGGAATCTGAGATTCACTTTCAAGCTGAAGAGTTCAAGATGAGCATAGACACGTTAGAAGAAAAACTTAAAAGAATGTTGCAGGGTGTGATCAACAATGAAAAAGCACCAGTGAAAAAGTTACTGATGTCAAGAAAAGCACAATATGCTCAGCTGCAAAAGTCCATAAAGAAACTGCAATCAATATTTGAAAATCAACACATGACAAATCTTCCTCTTCTCCTAACAAAGATAAGGCAAACATTAGAAGCAACAGTTCTGCAAGAGGAGGCAACCGTTTCTACTGAAATGGCTTCATTTGAAAAAGGTGAAATTTCCATGGAGAAACTAGAAACATTATTTGGACAATTTAGTGTTAGTTCAACAGAGGATTTGAGAAAGAGAACATTACCACCCGTAAAGGTAGCAGTGTCCATTGAAAATGTGATTGAAATGTCCAACTTGAAAGTTCGGGTACCTAATGTGTCTTCTGTTATTATAATTAGTGACAAAGAGTTACTCGTCTACGGAAACAAGTTTGGCTACCAGATTACAAAAGAAAAGGGACAAGTACAGACGGAAGTTTTCCAGAAATATGGACTCCAGCATCCTGTAGCAGTGTTATCCAATGGACTTCTACTGGCCAGAGATGAGCAAAGTCCAAATAAAATATTGCAGATCTTATCAAACCATGTCAAGAAGCCCTTCTTGGAAGTGGAGATTGTGGAGGTGACAGGAATTCATGTGACACGAAGGAGCGAGATTCTGATCTCAGTAGCTCAAGTGGAAGACTCTTGTGGAGAAGTCTTAAAATATAACAGAGTCGGGGAGATGGTGTTGCGAATTTATGAGAAATGTTCTGGAGAGGCCTTGTTTGCTAAACCAACATCCCTTACTGAAAACTTGAATGGTGATATCTGGGTCATAGATGTAGAGACCAACTCTACTGAAACCTTGGATAAGTACGGACTTTACAGATTTTCCTATAAAAATAGCGACATTCTAAAAAACTTTACACCTCATACCCTGACCAATGATTCTAATGGAAACATTTTGATATCAGATACCGGGAATGGAATCATTCATGTAGTGGACCGTGATGGGCGGGCATTAAGGTATCTGGACACGGCCAGCCTGGGCATCAGACCCAGTGGCATAGCGGTGGAGGGCCCAGGACAGCTCTGGGTGGTAGACGGCCTTAAGAAAAAATGTTACCTACTGAATTACTTTTAACCTGTGTTTTATCTCTTAAAATATACAAATGCCCAAAATAAATTTTAATTATCCCTTTACAAGTACAATTATTTCCTTATACAAAATGACAGAGTACAATATTACTGTCTTTGTCCTGTAAATACACTGTTTCCCAATCTGAAGACAACTTCCAACAACATTGGTGCTACTCATGCAAGCAATCAGGTTTCAATGTATGGTTATGCAATTTATGCTAGTTAGCACTTATTATACAAGTTGTTTAAAAATTGCATTGAAGTAATTTTAGTAAAAGGTGACAAATAGGCTATTAAAATGCAACTAGTCCATGTTGTCATGAAAGAATACACTAGTATTTTTATCACTTTAGATCACTATATTTTCGCGACACCTTATTTTCGTGAGACTGTCTTTGACTCCTTAGAAGCGAGACAAAATTTTCACGAATTTTGGCTATTGCTCTTTTTAATCTTTAAGAATAATAATAAATGCGAGAATGATAATTTAGCGAGTACATGCTTTTGTGTAATTCCGTGAAAATAAAGTTCTCCTGAATAACAAGAGGCCCAGGGGCCACATCGCTCACCTGAGCAAATCGGCTAGGAAAAAGCACAAATCAGATCATAACTGAAAAGTTTACTGAAGTGGGGAGGGGGGGGGGGGGGGGGGCTTGAATTTTAATACTATTTGAGAATGCCTTCATATTAATACAGCATATAGCTTTGCTAC